CCACACCCACACCCACACCCACACACCCACACCCCACCCACACCCACACCCCATCAATGATGATCATCGATGATAAATTTAAAATGCGACGTTTGATCTATATGAAAAAGAAGTCTAATTGATTTGAATAAATTTCTCGCATGGCAAACGAATATTAAATTGTTGATGAAAGGAATTTCGGAACTTCAAACAAATCTTTACTTAAAGAAACACTCATCGCGATGAAGCTACAACATTCTTACGACTTGGAAAATTGGAAAATAATGACGTAATGCATTCTTCCAACATAACAGTATGAAAACAAATGACTAAGATTGGAATTTTTCAATTGCCAAAAGATTTTTCTTCGTCGTTTTAACATACTTTGATTGGTGACTAGAGTAGTAATGCAAATATTTTCATCAGACAACACACTTTAAATAGAGAAAAAAAACATGACAGAGAATCAAAACATTGCATATGTATTTTTCAGCGTCATACTCCCATAGAAAATTTCGAACAAAATTTCATAATGAAACCATTATTGTCTTTTTTTCTAGGAGTAAAAGAAGGAAGAGATAAAATTCTTTTTTATATTTCTCAAGTTGTTTTATTATCTTTAAAAAATCTCACATTGTTGATTTTAAAGAGAAAGCAAAGTCACATAAAGCTATACAGAGCTTCCATCGTAATTCATTCATCAAACATGATTAATATTGTTGATCATATTTACATTTTATTTTAGATGACATCTATTCAACAATATGGCTTATCTTCTGATCGTATTTGTGATCCACATAGACTAAACATTGATCATCTCGAATGTCCTATTTGTCATGAAATACTCTGGAAACCAGTTGCTTGTCAATCATGTGAAACACCTTTCTGTTCCGTATGCATCCATCAATGGCTAGTCGACAATCCAGCACAGTGTCCAAATCGATGCAAAACATACATTCAACGAAAATGTCCACCAATTCTTGCTAAACTACTTGCTGAATTACAGATAGCTTGTTTCTATGAATCGAATGGTTGCAATCAAGTATTTTAGAGATCGATCACATTTTCAACTCTATACTTTTTTTGTAGGTCATTTCATATGAAGCTTTAGACAAACATGAAATCGAATGTAGTTACCAATACCAACGATGTCCTGGTTGTCAAACAAATATATTAAAAAAAGATTTTGATAATCATCAAAATAACTGTGCATCAATTGAAGTCACTTGTGAAAATTGCAAACTTGTATATAAAAGAGCTGATGCTATTTCCCAACATCCAGAAATTATCTGTCTGAAAGAGCAACTTCGACAAGCTCGGACTGAATCTAGAGAGGATAAATATGAAATACACGAACTCAATGCTGAATTAAATGAAATACGGTTATTATGTAAGTGAATAACTAGATTTGATTTCCACTAAAGAAACTATGAGAATATAATAAATTTAGATCCATTGATAACAAAAATGAAAATCACATTTGATGATTTACCAATTGCTGCTGATCGAGCGCAACTAATTTCAAATATGTACAGAGGACTCATATGGACTGATATTGCGTATGGGAACGAATTATTTTGGAAGATAAGACAACCTAAAAGTGGATATGTTACTTCCTTCAAACGTGGAGGTAGTCGACATATTGCATTTTTTAAGGATAATGCATCGATTAGCGCTGGAAGTCGTAATCACAAGTTTACTTTTGTTTCTGTTACTGCATGTGCTGCTTGGAATGATGATCTACAATTAACAGTTATGGGACATCGAAATTCTACAAAGACTAACATGCATACAACAAATCTTCTCTATGGAAAACCACAACTTATTCTCCTTCATTGGAAAGACGTAGACAAGGTCATCTTTACATCATCTGGCGGTAAACCTCATCCTGGTAATCGTGGAGCGACAGGGAGTCAGGTTGTGTTAACTCAGCTTACAATATATTAAGTTGATGGGAAGAAATATTGTACAACTTAGTAGAATATAAATCTAAAAGACTCTATATGTCAATGATTGACCAAAACTAAAAAGGATCCATTGTAATTCACCATGTACAATAGATATAAGTTGATCATCAAACACAGAATAGTCATTCGACTCTAATGGTAATCTTTTCTTTTACTTCGGAAAGAAGTATAAACATTTAATGGATTTGAAAAAAATTTTTTGTTGTAAATAGTTCATGTTTCAAAGTTACAATAAAAAAATTGGTCATTGACTCAGTATGCGGTATGGCTGTCAGAGAAGAAAAGAATCGCATCGACACACTCACACCCTACACCTCGCATACGTGTATATCGATCGTGATTCACTTAAATCTTCGTAATGATGAAGAAAATTTTTTTCCTGATTTTATATAGATCCTTTATATATATATATATACATTCGCATAACTTCGGCGATAAACGTAAATGACGAGACCTCGAAAACTTTCTTTCTTCAAGATTGCCAAGGTCATCGATTGAGTGAACACTACGTAAATCAATTGACAAAATTCCAACGCAGAAATATTACAGGATCTGTTTGGTGTTCGATTCAAATGTTCTTGAGTTTCACTTACCGAGTTTATGAAACCAACTGGTCAGGTCCTTCAATAGGAGTGAAAAGGGTGTGGGTGTGGCTGAAATAATACTTACACCCACACCCAAATCAGAACAAAATCGGGATTTCTGATCGAAAGCAGGAAAATCAGGGCTTATAAAAAGGCCAGAAGAGTAGTATTGCTGCAAGTCCTGCAAAAGTGACGGAAAAAGTAACTGGTAAAATATCTTTATTGTGTTCCATTGCGTATCTTCACGAATAAACTTTAAAACAAGACTTGTTTTTATTGTGGAAGAAAAAACAGAAAATGAATATTTCTTTCTTTGCTTATAAAAGAATAGAAAACGTATAAATAACAACTCCTGCGTTTAATTGTATTAGAACGAAAAAGACGTTGTACGCTACAGCATATGCACGGTTTCTTTCTCGTCCTCAAAGAATTGCTTCAAGAGAAGAACGATGCGAAGCTTTTCGAAATATGTTCTGTTTTACTGCATTAAAAAAAGCTTACAATAACAATAACAATAATAAAACGAGAAAGAAAAAAAATGAAAAAACACATAAGAATAGCAAAGGAACGCAATTTATTACATAGATAAAAGAAAGATTATGGGATGTGGGTGGCGTGAGTGTGGATGTGCGTATCGACGTAGGAGATTAGACTATAGACACTCATATTCACATCCAGAAATTATGTTACTGAAAAAAATCTATAGTCCTAAATAATCTCTGAAAAGTGTTTGTCTTACTGGATGTTTACATTTAGTAGCAGAAACTGAAATTATAACTGAAGCATTTCTTGAATTGGATACACAAATAAATTATTTTCATATTCTTAAAATATGTTTAGTTTATCTAAATATATTCAATAGAGTTCTTCTAATCCATTGTCAACACACGACCATACAGCAGCTGCATTAATTAAAACTGATATACCAATTTATGCATAGAAAGATGAAAGTGAAGACGAAAACTTATGATGTATAGGTCAGATAAATAAAGAAAAAGAACTTTTTCTTATAAATTCATGAGTTTACGCTTAAGAGGGGGAAGGGGTCGCGATTCCTCGATTTTTTATTTAATAGGCTCATTTGATAGAGCATAATTTTTTACATATATTCTCCAATTTTTACGCTTGTCTGATCTGTCTAGCTCGAGTTATAATCATATTAGGGTCATTTTTGATGAAAAATTTGTCCCTGGGGGCATCTAACTTTGAATTGACTTTACCCATAAAGTAGAAGCAAAAGACAACTTTTTATATATGAATAGATAGAAAATTCTTCCCTCTATCTGACATGTTTTCAACGAGCTTAAATGAACAAACTTTTCATGCTATTTTGTAGAGAATACTATGATGCAGACAACTTTTTATTATGCTTCAATGGCTTCAGTCGTATTTTCACCATTATGGGTATACTCAAAAATATTTTTCTATATTGTATTTGATAGAGAATTTCAAGTGCTACAACTTTGCTATGGATCATATTTCTTGATATTCATTATTAGAAATGTTAGATATCTTTTCTTGTTATCATATAGAACCGTGATTATAGAAAAAATATAAAATTTCTAGAATTTCAGTAACTAATAATATTCCTGTTCAATATATCACTCCTTTTTATATGGATACTTACGAGTTTCACTAATTACTTATAGTTGAGCTAAACAACGGAGAAACATTTGTTCTCTGATAGTTATTTCAGCTCTTTACTGATTTTACTTGGAATAAGAGGGCAGGACTCTCAATAACACAGAAGAAATTCAACGATATGGAATAATTATTCTTTTTCTCTCTAGAATATTTCCTCAATCTTTGATTTTTAATAACAAATAATCGACTTTTTTAGAATAAGCCAGCGCCACAGTCCATTTCTTCATCTTCTTCTATTCGAGCTTCTGTTCGTTTTTGTTCTTTCTGTTTTTTGATAATTTGGTGTTTTTTGAGTATTTTTTTCAGCTTTTTCTATTCGTTTGTAATCTTTTCCAATAAGAGTATCTAATAATTCTTCTGTAACAGGAATTCCAACTTGATCAAAAAATTTTACAAGTCCTGATCGACCACGATTGAAGAATATTGATGAGAGTGCTGCTGCACCTCGAATAGATTGATAGCCATGATATTTTGTTTTCGATAGAATTGACCACATAACAGAATTAATAGACTCATTGGCATTTTGTGTCATGCCTCTAAGGCACCGACATAAAAACGTTGAATTGGTCAATTTATCAATCATTGGAGACAAGATTTCGAGAAAAACCTATGAAGTATTATTAAGCTTTAAAATTATACAAAATGAAAGTATTTGCACTCACCGAATCAAGTCGTTTGACATCTTTCACGGGATCTGTTTTTTTGTGTTACCGGCACGTGTTTGTCTTTTTCATAAGAGCACCAGGAATCAGGTCCTGTGGGACAGAAAGCATGCCGAAGTTCACGATCAGATTGTTTTATATTGTGTAGAAGTGCAGCACGACAACGTCGTTCCATCAACGATACTGCTTGATCTTCATCAAGATCTAAAAAAAAAATATAATTTTGTGAATCCAGAAAATAATTACTTTACTCTTAGCTAATTCACTGCATTGCCGAATGGCAAGACCATAGTTATCTGCTAGCTTGTGTTCCATCACCCTAGTCATACGACCAACACCACCACTGTATGGTTTACCGTCGGCTAGTCGTCGTCGTTTACGACTCCTACTAGCCAATGGTACAGATGAATGAATATTATCATCATTATCACTTGATGATTGTTCTTTTGAAAAAGACGAAATGTTATTTCTTACTTCGTTGTGTTTCTTTTTCTCTATTGCTGGTGAAAAATTCTCTTTATCTAATTTTTCAAAACCACCATAGCGACTTTTCAAGTCTTTGAGATAACATGAAACTCGTTTCTTCACATGATTAATACAAACTTCCTTGATAACAAGATTGTTTTCATATTGTTCTGTAGAAAGTTATGACAAAGAACTATCATCAATATTTTCATCTATGGAATCCATAGATGGATTATTATCAAAAGTTTTCGAATGTGCAAGATCCTTGAGTAATAAATTGATATACGGACGTTTTACAGCTTCATAGGCACTTGAATCACCATCGGAAATCATTATTTTGTAGCATAATCCTAAACATCAACTCATGTTGTAAACAATAAATTTTGACGACAAGTGTTGGAATCAATCTAATGAACATTTGCATCTGAATATGATTGTTTTGTTATAAAGGTATAAGAAAAATAATAAAAATAAAATAGAAATGGAAATAGGTGACTTTGAACTAAATAAACTGGTAGACGTCATCAGATCGTTCCTTACCAAATCTTCCATACAATTTGACCAAAATCAGAATCAAAGATGAATAAAGAAGAAAATGCAAATTGAAATGTCGCTATGTGAATGTACATGCAACAAAGAATAAATATCGTTATGTTACGAAAGAGTTGTGTGGTGATGCCTATCAGTATGATTAGTCGAAAAAACACATGTTTACATTTCTATTTCAATTTTATTGAGCTTTTATAATTAAAATAAACAAATAGTCATTAGACTAAGTAAACATGTTATAGTGAATGAAACGAGTCGATTAACCTGTCTTTTTCGAGAGATCTTCCAAAAATTTTCTTTGGACCTTCTTTTTCCATACCACCAGAACTACCATACCATGTCTTCGAACATGTTGAAGGATGCATTTTGTACTAAAAAAAGTGACTTATATTTTTGAATAGCAGAGCTCCTTCACTTACCCATTTTTTAAATTGACGTGCTGTTAATGTACGTTGCTTGTCTTCGCATAGTTCACATCGGGTGTGGGTGTGGGCGTGTGGGCGTGTGAGTATGGGTGTGGGGTGTGGAGTGTGGGTGTGTGTGGGTGTGCGCGTGGGTGTGTGGGTGTAGGTTTGTGGGTGTGGGCGTGTGAGTATGGGTGTGGGTGTGTGGATGTGGGTGTGCGAGTGGGTGGGTGTGGATGTGGATAGTAACACAGGAGTAACCCACACCCACACGCACCAACACCCACACCCACACTCACACCCACACCCAGAACATGAGCTGGCGAATCTATCGTATACCATATAATTAAAACTCGATGCAATCACTATAGAGCTTCCAGTGGTTTTCCGAAAATCGCTGACTGACAATTGGATGATGAACCAATATTGTTGAATAATATACGAAACTATGCAGTGACACATCCTCTTTCCAACGGTGAAAACCGCAGCTCTCTATCTTGTTTCCACCAAAAGTTATTCATAAAATACACACCATTTTTCTTTTTTGAAATGGGTAATAGTTGTTAACGAAGAAAAAGGTCGTGCAATTCGTTTCAAAATGAATTGAATGACTTGTATATGTGTGTATACATGAGATTTTCATGAATGTCCATGGCTTTTTTCAATTTTGTGTTTGACTGGCTTGCAAAAAATGACGATCTTGTTTAACTGAATGGGCTCCGATACTTTTTGTCTTGTTACACAGCGTCCCCTATCGTAAATTTATTCATTTTGATTATATCAACAGTATAAAAACATTGGGTAAGTTTTATAATTGAAGGATTCTGAACTACAACGCGATGTAAACGACATTATGCAAACACTCTTCCAAAATCAACGATTATCATTCAATAAATTAAATAAAAGAAAAAAGAATAATAGGTCATATTTTTGTAACATTTCAAAACAATGAAAATTGATCTCAAATATGTTACTGTATGCTCCACCTTTAGAATATATATAAAGATTAGAAGAATAAACACTCTCTTTTTCCAATTCTTGATTTGTTACTAGAAGAAATAGATACTCTTCACTGTTTGATTGATCAATGGCTTTCATGTTCCGCACAAAATCTTTATTGTAAATCACTTACCATGTTAAACACAATCTTCTTACAACTATTACACATGATGTCAATCATCTACTTTAACATTTTTCACTAGTTTATTTAAATATTGAATAATTATATATTATAAAAAAAAGATAAACTGAAAACTAAAATTTTCTCATTTATTATTTGTTATTTTCTCCAGCAGTAATTATATGCCGACGATATATCTTCAATGAACATTTTACAAAAACACTCTCTTAATGTACTCAATGTTATTACATAGATATAAAAACCACAACTAGGCTCAAAATACATAGTCATTCTAACCAATAATGGAATCCATGAAGATTGATTTGGTTCAATTATTGTTCTTTTTTTTATAGCCTGCATAAGATAATAAAACGCATAAACACCATATGGTAATGATGTTAAGATAGTTACAAGTATTTCACCTATGATCATTAATGTTAATTGTTTATCGATTTGATAATGAGTTGAATTTTGACAATCAGAACAATGTGAACACATTTCCATAAATAGATGTTTTTGTCGCCGATTATGACAACGACGACGACGTTGTAAACAATAAAAATAATCACCAAATACTGATAAATAATGAATATTTTTCAATGTTAATATTCCAAAAATAATCATTAATATTGGTAAAAGAAAACAATGAATAGATGATATCCATATAGCCCATAAAATACGATTATGTGGAATACAACCTTCTATAGGAGACTTTATTGTAAAATTAAATATATGTTGAAGTGATAATAATGCAGATATTATAGATGAAAGTATACATAATCTATAAGCATATGAATAATCACAAAAGTGTCTGATGAGAAAAGATGTTTGATTTTGTTGACGTTTTTTTCTATGATAACTTGAACAAAATCGATTAATTGACGCAAATAAAATCATTTGAAATGATAAATCAGTACTTAACATATGTAAATAACTACGTATTTTACATATAATAATATCATATACAGATATTTTGTATGTAAGAAGTATTGTTTCATTTTGATTATTTGACCAATCAATAGTAACTTTAATCCAATGATATTTTGGATAAAGATGAATTAATAATTGAAGAATTGGTAAATTATTAAGAGTAATAAGATCGCTGAATGTTGAAAAAAGTAAATAAACAGTGCATGCAAGAGAATTTAAAGGTTTTTGAAGAAGAAATGCTATTTTAAATAAATTACCAATATTGCCAAAGATTATATAGAAAAGATTAATATAGATATTAAAATAACGAATAGATTGATCATCTTCTGTATTATTAATACTCTGATTGTTCATCTTTTAATTAGAAAATTCAAAAAAATTTTACGACGTAATTGTTGTTTGTATGTTCATTAGAAACTATGAAGATGATAGTGCCAAAGTCATTTAACATAAAATTATATATATAATCTGTCAATTCTTGACATTTCCACTTCTGTCTCATAAAAAAGAAAGAAAATTATTGCAATGAGCAATGACTTAATTTCCTCTAATCAAACTAATGAGCAAAGAAAGAATGTATGATCCTCCTTTAGTTAATTGGTATAAATTTTAATGATGTCGTTGTATAGGGTGTCCCATAAGAATTGCACGTTTT